ATTTCAAAGCATCAGTAGTTAAAAAGTATATGTATGATTTTGATGTGGTTTTTGAAGCCCTGTCAGAGATGGACACACTGTGACTGGATGGGAGCTACCACGATCCATGCTGATTTCCGGCTTCCACCTAGAGAAGTACTAGCTCTGGCCTTCAGCACACAGTTGTAAGTAGAGCCTGGAAGCAGATGCACACCCCAGAAGAAATCCTGCTGTTCCCTGAGGCAATCAGACCCATGGGGAGCAGCCACTCCAGGTGCCAGGTGCATCAGATTAGTCCAGGTGAATCAGAATGAAAACTAGGACTGAGCTGACCAAGCCTCAGTCTGGCAGAAATTTAGGGGCACGCTGGGGTGTGAAATGTGTGATTCTCCTTTATATTGTGGGTCTAACAACCAGTCCTACTGATGGGCCTGTCTTCAGTATCCTGGAAGGTGGCCTGTGCAGAGACTGACAGCTCGGAGTCTCCCTGTAAGTAGGGTGCACCAAGCTTTAATTTTACTTACGTTGTAATTAACGTATTTGTCATGCAACTTTCAAAAATATTTGTTTTCCTCCATGAAATTAGACAAATTCTAACAATATTTAGTCATGTTGATTGTCACTCTAGGCAAAAATCCATCTCTATTTTTAGTTGAACTTGTGCATTTCATGTGATAATGCTCTGGGAACACTTCTATTTCCCTAGGAAGATGATGCAAAAAAAGATGATTGCTTTCTCTCACAAGTGTCTCACCTAAATGAAGTAGCACATTTATTACAAGCTTTTGCTTTAGGAGGTGAAGCAAATCTGTATCTCCAATTTTCAATATATCTATCGTGATACTTTTAGCTAATTTAAAAAACGTACCACAGAGGCTTAAATTTTGAAACTCACACTATTTCAACAGCCTATTCAAAGGGATGGTTGTCTTTTGGGAAGGATGAGAGTGTTAGAAGGAATGTCAGGATGAGAGATTGAAAGCTGATGCAGAGGGGAATAGGAGTGCTAAAATCTCCTGACACTCCTAGAGTGGGCAAAGGAGTAGAGTCATTCTCTCACTCATTCCTGCCATCACTCAACCTGTTCCTTCACTCAAAATGTGCCATGACTGCCTTCCCACATCATGGGAGACAGCTCTGGGCTCTTCCAATTCATGCTGCCTGATCAGGAAAACATTTTGCTCTTCTCATACTGTTTTGATTAATAAGGAGAGCTCATTGTAAAAATAAAAAAAAAATAAAAATTATTATTAATTTGTAGTCCGTATACTCACTTCTTGCTTTTGAGTAACAAAACAATCCATGCAGATGAACCACCAGGAGTAAAGGATGAACCCTGGCCATAAAATATGAAACTGGCAATAAAATAAAATATGTCATATTGGGAAATGAAGTGTTACTCCAGAATTGAGTGAATTTGAATTGCTTAGAACTCCTCCTTTCTTTTCCATAACCTTGAAAGGTTCAAGTTCCTGTAAACAGGTTTTTTGCTTTTCCTTTAGGTTTAATTTTGTTTCTTTTTCAGAAATGTCCTAATACTTCAATAACACACACACTGTTACTTTGCCAGTGAAAAGCTTAGAAAGATACTAGACACACACACTATGCTAAAATAGAACCAAGAAACTTAAACTGCCTGGTGTGGAAAAGATAAATTTGGGTAAGCATTACTTGACTTGAACAATCATGAAATATAGAATATTTCCTCAAATAACACAAACACACTGTAATGCACCAATCTAATCTACGTACCTGTACATTGTTGTCATATCTACAAGGATTCTGTGTAATACTGGTCATAATAAAAATTCATTCATTAAATAATCTGTGGGGTTTTTTTCTTTGAAATTAAACTATTGCTTAGGTTAAGAACAAATTACATTAATATCTGTTTTGGTTCTTCCTCTGAATTGTCACTCTTAAAATGTAATGGACCCTGGATAAGGATAAAAAATTGATTACTTAAAGAAGTCTAATATAGAGATGATCAAGAAAATATGATGCAGAAGTAAGCAAAGGTTAAATTTAATAGGAAAAAAATATTAACTGCCACACAAAGAGATATAGGGAAATAAAAAACATCAAGAAATGAATGATAAAAAAGATTGCAACTTTTTTTTTTTGGCAAAGTGTCAATCAACAGTGGGCATGGGAGGTGAACAGGGGAGCTTGCAAGGCTCCCTGATCCCACTGATGAGGGAGTGAGCGAGCGACTGCATGGTGCTTGGTTGCTGGCAGGGGTTAAACCACAACATTACCATAAACGGGGTGGGGGGGCTTTATCTGTCCTAATAGCATCATTAAGGTTGATATCAGAAGATAAATATGTCCTTGTTATAGCTGTAGAACTAAATCATGTGATATTAATAGATATAAATTGAGATAAACACTACAAAGATGGCCATCTACATATGGAAATACTTATCAAAATGGTGGCTAAGCATAACCTGAATTAAATAACATACATACCAAAAGGCCTACAAAGAGAGAAAAATAAATCCTAAAGTCTCTGTCTTGTAACATCCATTCCTCTCACACCTCCTGAGAAAGAGAACTTTCAAGGAAAAATGATGAAAAATTACAAACAAGAACAACAAAAAAAGCGATGGCTAAAATGGAAAAGTATGTGAAATTATCAAGCTAAACCTTTTCACGTTTAAGAAGCATTAGACAGTAATGAGCATCCATTTGAAACAGGGAAAAGATGGGAACGATGAAACAAAATAAGAAATAGCTGACCAATTTTAGTGGGTTGACCTTGGCTGGATGCCAGGTACCCACTAAAGCCGCTCTGTCATTCTCCCTCTGTAACTGGACAGAGGAGAAAAAAACCCAAACAGCTAAGGATTAATGAGTTAGGAGCTGGGAGAGGTCAGTGACTGATTACCTCCATGGGCAAAACAAGACTCAAAGTGGGGATGGTACTTATATTTATCACTAGCAGGATAAGAGCCAAAGAGTGAGAAATAAAAGTCTTAAAAACACCTTCCCCCCACCCCTCCTTCCTTCTGTGTTCTCCCTCTTCCACCCCAGTGTTGCAGGGGGATGAGGAATGGAGGTTATGGTCAGTTGTTGTTTCTGCCACTTCTCAGAGAGAGGAGTCCTTCCCCTGCTCCCATGGGGTCCCTCCCACGGGAGATGGTCCTTGATGGACCTCTCCAGCGTGAGTCCATCCCTCAGGGAGCAGTTCTTCCAAACTGCTGTCCCGTGGGTCACTCCTCCATGGGGTGCAGTCCTTCACAAATGAGCTGGACCGACATGGGTCCACAAGTCCTAACTGGGAAAAACCTGCTCCAGCGTGGGCTTCCCTCTCCATGGACTGCAGGTCCCTGGCAGGACCCCGCTCCATCTTGGGCCTCTCACAAGGTCACAGCCTCCTCTGGATATCTACTGCTCCAGCATGGGCTCCTCCATGGGCTGCAGGTGGGTCTCTGAATCCCGATGGTCCTTCATGGGCTGCAGGGGCACAGCTGCTCCACCATGGTCTGCACCACGGGCTGCAGGGGTCACAGCTCCAGTGCCTGGAGCACCTCCCGCCCCTCCTTCTGCACTGACCTTGGTGTCTACATTGTTCTTCCCATGTTCTTACTCTGCTCTTCCCTGGCTGAAATTTTTTCCATCTTCTGTTCTTAAATATGTTATCACACAGGTGTTACTATCACTCCTAATTGGCTCGGCCTTGGCCAGCGGCAGGAAGTCCGTCCTGGAGCCAGCTGGCATTGGCTCCGTGGGACAGGGAAATCTTCTAGCAGCTTCTAAAAGAAGCCACCCCTGTAGCTCCCCCCCTGCTACCAAAACCCAGCCACAGAAACCCACTACACTGATGAAAAAAACACAAAAAATGTGCATTGTACACAGGTATAACTTACCAGGGAAAAACTCCTGCCAAGAAAGATATGGTAAGTAGCAACTGTATGGAATAGCATTTATTTGATGATCCTTCAAGAACAAGGTAAAAATACCTCAAACATACATTCATGGTAAATTTAAATAATAATTCAGACAGAAAAAGTAGAACTGTGTGTGCACATGTAAGGTTTGGAAGCTTTCAGGACTCACTGCACCTGAACGGACTTGTAGAGCCAATAGGCACCCCAGCACAAATCAACAGCTCCAGAACACATATCGTTCAAAAAGTAGTATCATGTGAAGAAACAGCAAAAGTTTTTTATTATGTTTCAACAAAGTAAGACCATGAGAATAATCAAACACATGCCACATCTTTAAAAACACATGGAGCAATGTAGATTTTCATCGGTCCATCAGCAAGAGACACAAGTTAACTCCTTCATCAGACCTGACTCTCGCAGACAAAACAACGTCGTGTTATCACTAAGTCGGAGACACAGTGCACCCACAAGACTTTCCTTCCTGCAAAAAGAAGTGAATGTGTCGCCCTCACGGGGAAAAAAAAAAAAAAAAGGCACCTTACTACCTTTTCTGAGCTCGCGGTAAAAAAGGGTGGATTTCCTGTGGTACCGGACCCACCGCGCCGGCCCCTCTCGGCTGCCCGGCCGGGCCCTTTGTTGGGGCTCAGCGCCGGCGGAGCGCGGAGGGAACGCGGCAGGGGCGGGTTGGGCCCCCGGAGGCGGGGCCTAACCTGCAGCGCGCGCGGCCCCTCTGCCCGCTATGGGAGCGATGGCGCGAACGTCCCGCCCCGGCCCTGCCCCTCCGAAGTCCTCAACCAGGTCGGACCGACCGCAATATACACGCGCTGGGGTCTCATTTCCCGTTACAACCATCGCAGCTGAGCGAGGGACACCATGTCTGGCAGAGGCAAGGGCGGGAAGGGGCTCGGCAAGGGCGGCGCCAAGCGCCACCGCAAGGTGCTGCGCGACAACATCCAGGGCATCACCAAGCCGGCCATCCGCCGCCTGGCTCGGCGCGGCGGCGTCAAGCGCATCTCGGGGCTCATCTACGAGGAGACGCGCGGCGTGCTGAAGGTCTTCCTGGAGAACGTCATCCGCGACGCCGTCACCTACACCGAGCACGCCAAGAGGAAGACGGTCACGGCCATGGACGTGGTCTACGCCCTCAAGCGCCAGGGACGCACCCTCTACGGCTTCGGCGGCTAAACTCGATTCCTGGCCTAGCTTACGCTTTTAAAACACAAAGGCTCTTTTCAGAGCCACCCACAAGTTTCAGGAAAAAGAGCTTTAAATCGTTGCATGTGTACGTAGTTGTTGTACTTGCGGTTAAATTTGTAGGCGGAAATAAGGGAAGGGACTTCGCTTTTCTTGACCGGGGGCTCCCTGGGCTCAATAAAAAAGGAGCTATGGCAGTTACATCCTGTATACCGGCACTTTGCTTCCCGCGCTCTCCCTCACACACAGAGCACAGCTCCTCTTTGGGAAGGGCAATGGAAACTACAGACAAAGGGGAGAAAAAGCGGGACGTCGGGAGCAAGCGCTGGTTTCCAACAGCCGCTCTCCCGGCACCACCGTTGTAGTCTGATGAGGCGGGAAGGAAGCTCGTGAAATGGCGGCGCTCTCCTCTCTGCCAGTCGGGGGGCGGGACAGAGCGGGAAGGCGGGGGGAGAAGAAAAGCTAAGAACACCCGATAGCGTCCTGGGCACTGCGGAGCAAAGAGGCTGCGAGCCCTCTGCTGAACAGCCTTCCCGTATTCCCCCCCTCTCCTTGTAAGGATGCCTTTTTCTGCTCCAGGCACCGCTCTCGGCTGCACACATCACCCCAACCCCTCTCCCCTCCTCCCGCGCCGGCAGCTTGAAGCGTGTACCTCAGAACCACTGACACACACCGGGCGGCAAGGAAGGGCGGGACTGGGCGCTACCGGAGAACCACACACCTCCCCCACACCTCCCCCCCGTTATCCCAGAACCGGCACGTACAAGCGCTTGCTACAGACTGCCCGCCCGTGCCTGCTCCATAAGAGACACAGCTCTCTCCAGTGGTCATGTGGTGGCTCTTAAAAGAGCCTTTCGGTCTGGTAGTGGTGGGAAGGTAGAAAACTCAGGCGCGCTCTCCGCGGATGCGGCGGGCGAGCTGAATGTCCTTGGGCATGATGGTGACGCGCTTGGCGTGGATGGCGCACAGGTTGGTGTCCTCGAAGAGCCCCACCAGGTAAGCCTCGCTGGCCTCCTGCAGCGCCATGACGGCCGAGCTCTGGAAGCGCAGGTCGGTCTTGAAGTCCTGCGCGATCTCGCGCACCAGGCGCTGGAAGGGCAGCTTGCGGATCAGCAGCTCCGTGGACTTCTGGTAGCGGCGGATCTCGCGCAGCGCCACCGTGCCGGGCCGGTAGCGGTGCGGCTTCTTGACGCCGCCCGTGGCCGGCGCGCTCTTGCGGGCCGCCTTGGTGGCCAGCTGCTTGCGGGGCGCCTTGCCGCCCGTCGACTTCCGCGCCGTCTGCTTCGTGCGCGCCATAACACCAGAGCTGCCGCCCGGACCACAGCGAACGACGAAGAAGGGAAAGCTGGTAGGCGGAATCGGTACCAGGTCGCTTTTATATCCGAGCCCTGCCCGTTGATTGGCTGATGGGAACGGCCGAGCTCATTGGGCCAATTTGAAAACCCCGCGTTACGCCGCTCTTGGCTCCTACATAATTAACTCACCACAGGCTCCTTCAGTCCTTTTCCTAGGAGGCCACATTTTGATCTTTAAAACTTGGCTTAAATAACTGTACCTTTCATCGAGATAATTCTTCTCATGCAATTCCCAAGAGGAGACTGCTAGTGAAGCTGGTTGCAAATAAAACATATTTCTCTAGGTGGGTATTCACCGAGATTTTCGTGTCTATAAAGCAGGTCGCTAATATTTTGTCATTCTATATTTTTTATGGAAATATTTCCAGAGAAAGTGAGTGCTTTTTGTGCAATCCGAAACAAACTCCCCTACGACTTCGTTTTTTTGTTCTTTTCTTTTAGCAGTTAAGGTAATACAAGTGATTACATTGTTTACTTAAAAGACACAGTCGGCAGGTGCTATTCGGATTCTGAAACAACTTGGGAGGTAAAAAAGGATTAGAGGAAAACACAATACAAGGTAAACATTAAAAGATGCCGAAGTTTATTTTTAGAAAAGAAAGACGATTAAGTCCCTGTGCACAGGGTTGATGTTCGGGGCACCTCCAGCTACCGCTGTTACCCAATTGTATTCTCCTCTACTTTGACCAATCACAGGCGGGAAGGCGGGGCCGCCACACAATATAAGGGGGCTCGCAATTGTTGTGGTGTCCGCTTGAGGGGGAAGGAACAGTAAACTGGAATGGCGCGCACGAAGCAGACGGCGCGGAAGTCGACGGGCGGCAAGGCGCCCCGCAAGCAGCTGGCCACCAAGGCGGCCCGCAAGAGCGCGCCGGCCACGGGCGGCGTCAAGAAGCCGCACCGCTACCGGCCCGGCACGGTGGCGCTGCGCGAGATCCGCCGCTACCAGAAGTCCACGGAGCTGCTGATCCGCAAGCTGCCCTTCCAGCGCCTGGTGCGCGAGATCGCGCAGGACTTCAAGACCGACCTGCGCTTCCAGAGCTCGGCCGTCATGGCGCTGCAGGAGGCCAGCGAGGCTTACCTGGTGGGGCTCTTCGAGGACACCAACCTGTGCGCCATCCACGCCAAGCGCGTCACCATCATGCCCAAGGACATTCAGCTCGCCCGCCGCATCCGCGGAGAGCGCGCCTGAGTTTTCTACCTTCCCACCACTACCAGACCGAAAGGCTCTTTTAAGAGCCACCACATGACCACTGGAGAGAGCTGTGTCTCTTATGGAGCAGGCACGGGCGGGCAGTCTGTAGCAAGCGCTTGTACGTGCCGGTTCTGGGATAACGGGGGGGAGGTGTGGGGGAGGTGTGTGGTTCTCCGGTAGCGCCCAGTCCCGCCCTTCCTTGCCGCCCGGTGTGTGTCAGTGGTTCTGAGGTACACGCTTCAAGCTGCCGGCGCGGGAGGAGGGGAGAGGGGTTGGGGTGATGTGTGCAGCCGAGAGCGGTGCCTGGAGCAGAAAAAGGCATCCTTACAAGGAGAGGGGGGGAATACGGGAAGGCTGCTCAGCAGAGGGCTCGCAGCCTCTTTGCTCCGCAGTGCCCAGGACGCTATCGGGTGTTCTTAGCTTTTCTTCTCCCCCCGCCTTCCCGCTCTGTCCCGCCCCCCGACTGGCAGAGAGGAGAGCGCCGCCATTTCACGAGCTTCCTTCCCGCCTCATCAGACTACAACGGTGGTGCCGGGAGAGCGGCTGTTGGAAACCAGCGCTTGCTCCCGACGTCCCGCTTTTTCTCCCCTTTGTCTGTAGTTTCCATTGCCCTTCCCAAAGAGGAGCTGTGCTCTGTGTGTGAGGGAGAGCGCGGGAAGCAAAGTGCCGGTATACAGGATGTAACTGCCATAGCTCCTTTTTTATTGAGCCCAGGGAGCCCCCGGTCAAGAAAAGCGAAGTCCCTTCCCTTATTTCCGCCTACAAATTTAACCGCAAGTACAACAACTACGTACACATGCAACGATTTAAAGCTCTTTTTCCTGAAACTTGTGGGTGGCTCTGAAAAGAGCCTTTGTGTTTTAAAAGCGTAAGCTAGGCCAGGAATCGAGTTTAGCCGCCGAAGCCGTAGAGGGTGCGTCCCTGGCGCTTGAGGGCGTAGACCACGTCCATGGCCGTGACCGTCTTCCTCTTGGCGTGCTCGGTGTAGGTGACGGCGTCGCGGATGACGTTCTCCAGGAAAACCTTCAGCACGCCGCGCGTCTCCTCGTAGATGAGCCCCGAGATGCGCTTGACGCCGCCGCGCCGAGCCAGGCGGCGGATGGCCGGCTTGGTGATGCCCTGGATGTTGTCGCGCAGCACCTTGCGGTGGCGCTTGGCGCCGCCCTTGCCGAGCCCCTTCCCGCCCTTGCCTCTGCCAGACATGGTGTGCCTCGCTCAGCTGCGATGGTTGTAACGGGAAATGAGACCCCAGCGCGTGTATATTGCGGTCGGTCCGACCTGGTTGAGGACTGCTGCCGGAGGCGGGGTCTCAGTCGGAGTCCCCGCCCCCCTCCCCGGCTTCCCGCCGTTCGGTGGCCGAGGCTCTTTCCCGGCTCTGGCTCGCTGGCGCGCGCGGCGGTACCGCCTCTCCCGGGCTGGGCCGGGCCCCGCACCGCCCTTCCCGCGGAGGGGTCGCGCTGCGCTGTCTCTGCCCGCTGTCAGCCCGCGCGTCCCTTTGCTGCTTTCCTGTGCCGTTCCGGCCGTGTCCCCTGCGCGGGTGACAGTTCCGCGGCAGCGCTGCGTCTCCTCCGGTACCAGGAGCAGGGGCGGTGGCGCTCCCTTCCCCGTCCCTCCCCGCGGGTCTGCGGCAAAATCCGACCAATGCGGGACCGCGCTCGGTGCTCCCGCCCCGCCGCTGCTCTCCGCCTCCACTCGCGGGTAGCTGGCGGAGGCGCCTTTCCCGGGCAGCGCTCCCTTTGTTTTCTTCGGCCATGGCGGCTTCGCGTTTTCTTTGTCTACCCGGACACTCCCACAGCTGTCCTCTCCTCCGTGCGGTCTGGGGGGCTGGGCACCGAGCGTTTCGCGCTTTTATATCTGCACAGAGCGACCTGCAGGTCTGTGCGAAGGGAAGCAGGGAGCGAGGTCCTAAACGGCAGAGAATATCATCAGTGAGGGAGTTCGGTGGGGAACATTTAGGTCTGAAACTCCTTGAAGGCAACATTGAGGGGCTGTTTGGGGATGCGGAAGGGACCGTCCGCCCATCCTTTCAGCCCTCCCCAGCCCCGCGGTACGGTTTCGGGGGCAGCGCTGGCCGCGGGGCGCTAGGCTCGCTCCCGGCAGTTGCCAGGCCCCGAAAGAAGTGTTCGCTGGCATACATCGGGATCCAAAAAGCGAGAGAAAACATTACGGATATCATACAGCAGATATCTGTATGACATTTGAAAAATGAATACTAACGAAAAATTTTTTGTTCAAACGAAGAATCCAGAAATTTTGCCGTTTGTTTCACACTGTTGTGAACAAACATCTCTACATGCTGCTTACAGTATGTTGGACTGTATTTATGAAGTGAATGAATAAATACTGACTGAGTTATAAGACTGCATTTCTAAATTAAATCTGTTAAGATTGTAAATAGTACTTATACTCAGAATAGAAGTAATATGGCTATGGTACTGGCCAATTTTTATGTTAGTAGTATTTTGCACTCTTCAAACTTGTCTACTGTTTAAATTTTTTTATATCCTTAGAAATTTGTGCAGTTGTTTATTTAAAGTTATTCAGGAGTATAATTTACAGAACCTTGGCAGCGTTTCCAGAATATTTCTTGGCAGAAAGTGTTCCCTAAATTCAGGGAGAAATGCGATTGAGATAGTTGTGCATTTGGTTACAGGTGTCAAAATGTACAAATCTTGTTATGATTATAATCATCCCTGCGAATTCCTTCTCCATTCAAATTGTTATTTTAAACAATTTAAAGAATTGCCACTCATATATACAATAGGAGCAGCAAACATAGCTTTAATTTAGATTATGTTTGCTTTTTAACTGAATGAACAAACACTAACTGGAAGATTTCACACTGGTGGACCTGTTAGGCTGGTGCCTAACCTTACCATTTGGCTCCACAAAGTCTGCTTTGTTCTTTATACCTGAAGATCTGTGTCTAGCTATGTTTCCTGAGGCAGTTATAAACAACATTCTGAATGCTAAAGAAAGCCTAAAGGAATTACACAAAATCTTTCAGTATGTCAAATAATAATGTCTTTGTAAGTCTTTCTAAATGCAGAGTGAGGATCATAGTATAACTTTTCCTTCTAGCATTATAACAACTGAAAGACTAGGAAAATCTTCTTCCATTTCTGGCAGAAATGGGTGATGAAGAGGCTGAGACTAGTAGCTTACAGTAATTAAAATAGTTGCAACTCCTTTTCCTCAGTGTCTGGAGCACATTAGATGTAATTTAATGTCACACTTTCTAGAAGGCTGCCTTGTCTGTTTGTTGGTACAAGTGCACACAGATGTTTCCCGAGTGTTTCTGTTAGTGACATTAGTCAGTTCTCTCATGGATCAGAGGATTTTCTTAGGCAAAAATAACTAAAGTGGAAAGAAACTTTTCCTGCTGAATATAATCCCTAATGAAGTTGCTACTACTGTTGATTGGAGACAATAATTTTTATTTGGATTGAAGTTTAGGATCTAATCCTCAGATTGTAGGTACTACATTTTCCTCATCAGTTTGGACAAACAGCATTGGGGGTTAAACGAGAACAGAAACCTTTGCAAAACTCAGCTCCATTAAAGAAATAAAATAAAAATCTGTAGCTTTTCAAGTGCGCATTAATTAGGGCAATTGCCCTAGTTCCTCATTAAACTGCAATGAGGAAATTACATTTGTTCATTGCAATAAAGCAATATCTTACCATGACTTACCATTGCATCAGTGTGTTATAACCAACTGCAAAGCTGCTCTTAATTTTCTTGAGAGATTATATGGCAATTTAAATCCCTGTCTGTGTCTGCTACAAGTGTCATAATAATTATAACAATATGCGAACTAAAGTAATGCAAGATCTTTTCAATAGAGTACATTATTCCTAACATTATAAGCAATATAGATGAAAAAGAGCAGAAAAAGCCCTTCATATTTTTAACTATGCAATTCTCAGTCTTTTGATATAAAGACTGATATTACTGAGTTATCCCTAAGCATGACTGTGATCTATAACATTTGAGGGAGCTCGGTTGGAAGGTTTTTTAATTTCATCACAAGTTCTTTAGCAGGTGGAGGTGCATTGGAATCCAGTGACACAGCTAAGCCACCATATCGTATGGATTTCCTCTTTCCTACTGTTCATTTTATATGCGAATGAAACTCATTTATTTAAACTTCCTTCGCTGCATTCCTTCATCCAGTGTAATTTGCCTGAAAGCTGTGAGTCTTTAATACCAGTAGATTTTCCAGCACTCTTTCGTGTTGTGTAATCCATCTGATTTACAGGACTTTGAGGCCTCACCAGTGTGCTGGCAGCACAGGGTTCACAATTGGTGAAACCACTGGTGCTTAAGAACAGAACTAGGGAGTGCTAAGGAGTGAATCTAAGTATCAGAGAGGATGAAACTACAGTTACTGGGGCGAGCAGACTAGTGAGTGAATTAAGAGGTGTTTGGAATGAAATTCTGAAGCAAATAATGGATTTCTGGTTAGATGACATAAAGAATTTGGAGAAATGTGCTGGACTGAGATCCACACTCAGAGGACAGGGCCCTCCCCTGTGACACCAACTCTGATTTTCACATAAGGGAGTTTGTTTGCAGAGAAATCTAGCTCCTGGATACAGATTCCCCCCCCCCCCCCCATGGCCTTTCTCTGGAATTCCAGTTCTTTGATTTAGAGGTGAATGCTTGTGGTCCAGAAAGCCAGTCATAACCTGGGCTATATCAAAAGCAGCGTGGCTAGCAGGTCGAGGGAAGTGATTCTCTCCTTCTACTCTGCTCTCATGAGAATCCGTCTGGAGTTCTGCATCCAGCTCTGGGGTCTTCTGGTACAAGCAAGACATGAATCTATTAGAGCAGGTCCGCAGAAGGGTCACAAAAACAAGCAGAGGGCTGGAATACTTTTCCCGTGAAGAAAGGCTGAGAGAGTTAGGCTTATTCAGCTGGGGGAAGAGCAGGTTCTGGGGAGACCTTGGGACTGCCTTTCAATACAGAAAGACAGAGATTTTTTTTCAGGCCTCTAGGGACAGAAGAAAGGATAATGGCTTTAAACTAAAAGAGGATACATTTAGATTGGACGTAAGTAAGGATTTGTTTTTCATCGAGGGTTGTGGGACAGTGGACCAGGTTGTCCAGAGAAAATGTGGGATGCTCCATTCCTAGAGGACGTTCAAAGTCAGGCTGGATGGGGCTTTGAGCAACCTGGGCTAGTGGAAGACGTCCTATCCACAGCAGGGATGTTGGACTAAATCTGTAGTGGTCCCTTCCCACCCAAACCATTCTATGATTGCAATCTTCTGACACACATACATTTGGAATCTGTTCTGGAAACTAAAGATAGAAGATTTGTGCATGTTAAAGTAGTTTTGATTACCACTGCAGTTATTCAAAAAGAGAAGTGTAAGGGCCAGGACATGTAGGTGCAGGAAATGAGGACCAATAAAACAACATAATGAAAACATTACAACCCTAAATGTGTACACTTACAAACAAGACCCTTGGGCACAGATACCATCACTGTATCAGATAAGGCTGGTTCTCCAGCATCTCTCTGTTTTTCTCCACAAATTATCGCTGGTGTCTCACTTTAGCCATGGCACAATCCTGTCAAAAAAGCCTCTCTGCTACAGCTTGGGAGTAGCAAGGAGAGGCAGAGTGGGAGTGTTGCCCTCCTCCAAGCCCAGAGCATTCCTCCTCCCCAGGGGATGGAGAGCAGAGGTGCTGCACAGATGGGACCTATGGCCTTAATAGTGTAGTACAGATCGTCAGATGCAGCTTCTGGGAATATCCTAACAAGAGGAATCAGATAGACAGTCTTTCTAATAATTTATGACAGTGAATATAAAGAGATTAAAGGTGGTGCTTTTCGGTGATACTTGTGCCAGCAACATAGAAAATTTAAGTAATGTTGCCCACTGCAAACTGATGTAACAAGAGGAATAGCAATGCACAGTGAGGGAATTTTAAGGGTAGAAAGAATGGAACGGTGCTACACTATTGCTTTACAGTGCAGGTCTTAGTTAAAAGATCTAGATCAAAAAGAGACATTTTCCCTAAGGCATTGCTCATGTTATTTCTAAATAAAATTAAATCATAAGGAAGCTTTAGATCTTTTGAAGAACAGAGGCCTACAAAGGAAATGAAGAAATAGTTTCATTATTAGTTATACGAGTTTGGGATGGTCTCCAATCTATTTTCATGCTACATAGCTTTTTCCACACCCTCCCTATTCTTTTAGCCACCCTCCCATACTTTTACAAGCCTATGAAATCATGAAAGTTGAGCAGAATCAATATGAAGATATAAGTGCTTTACTGTTACAAGAAAAAAAAACCCCAAATAATTTCAAACTGATAGGATTTTCAGCAAAAAAGGGAGAATTAGAAAGCAAATGTATGACCCCTCTTCTGTAGAAACAAAAGTTTAAAATAATGCAACACAAGTTCGTTTTAGTTAAACAAAGTTGCATTTAAAGATAGCACGAGAGCACCTTTGTAAAGAAAGCAACACAACTCTTTTCTGACTCTGTGGGTGGCTCTGAAAAGAGCCTTTGGTTTAAAATCTCGTGCTAAGTCTGAGTAGCTTTGCTCGCCGAACTTATTT